TAAATTAGCCATATTCATTGTCTACTGCCAGTATAATTATCTGTCTTTATAAATATTATCCCTGTTTTTTTAATGACTTGTATTTTTCTGGTACAGGTTTGTTGTGAATGGTTGTTTAATTTTGTCTAGGTGAGCAGTCATAAAAATTCTCCTAATTTCAACATTTAGTTATATTTGAATCCATATTTTTGTGTGGGAGGAAACGTTTGGATTGAAAGATAATTTGAAAACTGTCATAACTCTATCTTTTTTAGGTATGATTGTTTATTTTTACTTGTCAAAAACACATAACAAAATTTATAATCAAGTATTTTTAAATATTCAATTTAGTCATCTTAATTATATTGACAGTGTTATGCAACATATCCCTAGAATGTTTTTATCTTGCACAACTAAAGCTCAATACATATTAAACAACTACCAGTTTTTCCCATTTTTGTCACACTTCACAAACACCACTCTGTTTTCTGATTCTAAGAGTGTAACTGCTTTATATATATCATACAATCTCCATCTTTTTGTGGCTGGCCCATTTCATTTTGCATAATGTCTTCTAACTTTGTCTTTATAATTGTTAAAATATTTCCTGCTTTTTCAATCCTGGGTGATATTCCAATATTTCTGTATTTCAAATTATATCTACTGAGTGGTTTGGTGACAGAAATTTGCATTGTTTTTACTTATGTGCTTTCAGTGACAATGCTACAATAATTATTGGTATGCCAATGATCATATATGTGTAAGTTTATATATGTACTGCATTCTACTTTATTAGTCAATCTTTTTTTACCTTTATGCTCCTACCAAATTGTTTTAATTCTGTAGCTTTGTAATGTGTTTTGAATTCAAGAACTGTAATGCCTTTAACATTGCTTTTTTTTTTTTCCTTTTTTTTGGGGGGGGGGAAGATTCTTGGGTACTTTATTGTCTCTTGAGATTTTATATACTTTTGTGGTTCCTGTTTCTATTTCTTCAAAAATGCGATGAGAAATTTTAAAAAACATTGCATTAAATTAGTAGATTACTTTGAGCAGTATGGATATCTTCACAATATTAATTATTTCAACCCTTGAACAAGAGCATACTCAAGAGTGTGTTGTTTAATGTCTATGTATTTGTAAAAGTTTTCAGTTTCTTTTTTTTAGACACAGTCTCACTCTGTCACCCAAGCTGGAGTGCAGTGGTGTGATCTTAGCTCACTGCATCCTCCACCTCCCAGGTTCAAGTGATTCTCCTGCCTCAGCCTCCCGAGTAGCTGGGACTACAGGCGCCCACCACCATGCCCAGCTATTTTTTTTTTTTTTTTTTTTTTTATTTTTAGTAGAGACGGGGTTTCACCGTGTTGGCCAGGATGGTCTCAATCTTCTGACCTCGTGATCCTCTCGCCTTGGCCTCCCTTATAGTTGTGAGCTACTGCGCCCAGCCAGTTTTTCAGTTTTTTTCTATTATTGTTTTATATTCTCATTTCATTTTTGTCATAGAAAGTAATCCATAAAAATTCAGTTTTATAAAATTTGTTAAGACTTCTTATTTGACCTACCATGTGGTCTGTCAAGGAGAATGTTCTATAAGCTATTGAAAAGTGTGTACATCCTAATGTTCTTGAGAAGTGTTCTCTATATTTCTGTTAAATATATCTGTTTTTTACTACCTTTGAGTCCTCTTTTCCCTTATATTCTGTCTTTATTTTTATTACAGAAAGTGGGGTATTGAAATATCCTACTATAATTATGTTGCTCTCTATGTGTTTCTTTTATTCTGTTAATATTTGCTTTATGTGTTTGAAACCATAATGTGAGATACACACACACACAACATACACTTGTATATACAAATTTGTCATAGGTTCCTGGTAAATGAATCTATTATTGTTTAATGTTTCTCTTTGGAGTTTTGACTTAAAGTACATTTTATAAAATATGACAGTTTTTGACTTAAGATGTAGCTTGTGTAATTTTTTGGACATCTTTTCTCATTTTGTTAATATTTGTGTAGAATATATACATCCATCATGCCACTTTCAGTCTTGTTTTATAATTAGGTCTCAGCTGACTCTTGTAGAAAATCAAGTTGGATCTTGGTTTTCAAAAATTTTTAATCCCATTATTGAATGTATGTCTTTATTTATTTATTTATTTTTTTGGGAAATGGAGTTTTGCTCTTGTTGCCCAGGCTAAAGTGCTGTGGTATGATCTTGGCTCACTGCAACCTCTGCCTCTGAGGTTCAAGCAATTCTCCTGTCTTAGCTTTCTGAGTAGCTGGGATTACAGGCACCCGCCACCACGTCCAGCTAATTTTTGTATTTTCAGTTGAATCGGGTTTTACCATGTTGGCCAGGCTGGTCTTGAACTCCTGACTTCAGTTGATCCACCTACCTCAGCTCCCAAAGTGCTGGGATTAAAGGTGTGAGCCACCATGCCTGGCCAAATGTTTGTCTCTTGATTTAATATATAGATATTTAAATAAGGTTAATTATGTGTATATTTAAATAATCTTCTGAAACAGAAAGACTTGGTAACCTTATTGTTTAATTTGATTCTTGTATCCTTGTCCCTTGTTTTCTCTCTTTCCTTCTTCCTTTGTGTCTTTTGATTTTTGTATTTATATGCTTTTATTTCTTTCTTACTTGGTTTTGTGTATCTACACAGATATATTCTTTGTGGTTCCTTGGGGATTACATAAAACCTCTACAAGATAAAACAGTATATTATAATCTAGTAAAAAATCAACTTTATTTGCATATGAAAATTCTTATTCATTACATCTGCCCTCAACTTTGTCATTGATGTTGTTAATTATATCTTTATATGTTGTATATTCATTAGCAGGTGTTTATAATAATTTCTGTGCTTTTTATCTTTCACATTTTAGAGAATAATTAAAAATGCTTTATGCACCATTATGATAATGCTGTGAAATTCTGTTTTTGTGTATGTGCATATCTTTCCCAGAAAGTTATTTATTTATTTTTTTTAGATGGAGTCTTACTCTGTCGCCAGGCTAGAGTGCAGTGGTATGATCTTGGCCCACTGCAACCTCTGTTTCCCGGGTTCAAGTGATTCTCCAGCTTCAGCCTCCTGAGTAGCTGGGATTACAGGCATGCACCATCACACCCAGCTAATTTTTGTATTTTTAGTAGGGACAGTGTTTCACCATGTTTGCCAGGATGGTCTCAATCTCTTGGCCTTGTGATCTGCTCTCCTCAGCCTCCCAAAATGCTGGGATTACAGGCATGAGCCACCGTACCTGGCCAAAAGTCATGTATTTTCATGATTATGTGCCGTTTTCTTGTATCATGTTATTTTCAGTGGAAGGAACTCCTTTCAGCATCTTCGATATGTAGGGCATAGGCAGCACCAAAACACATTTTCAGAATTTTGTTATTTATTTATTTATTTTGAGATGGAGTTTCACTCTTGTTGCCCAGGCTAGAGTGTAGTGGTGTGACCTCGGCTCACTGCAACCTCCACCTCCTGGGTTCAAGCGATTCTTCTGTCTCTTCCCAAGTAACTGGGATTACAGGAGTGTACCACCATGCCTCACTAATTATTTTTTATATTTTTAATACAGATGAGGTTTTACCATGTTGATCAGGCTGATCTCGAACTCCTGACCGCAAGTGATCCACTCACCTTGGTCTCCCAATGTGCTGGGATTACAGACATGAGTCATCACACCTAGCCGAATTTTGTTATTTTGGAAGGCGTTTTTCTTTTATTTGGCAGGACAGTTGTTGGTATTCTCACTTGACAGCTATTGTTTTCAGCACTTTGACTGTATCACACTTCCCTTCTGGCCTGATTCACTGGCTATCTTATAAGACTATTATTATAAATGACATATCACTTTCATCTTGCAGTTCCCAAGATTCTCTTGTCTGTTACTTTTGAAATTTTGCTTATATATGCTTTATATACGTCTTCGTTTGTATTCTAGTTTGTTTGTTGTCTTTATTTTTACATTAATTTTTCTTTGATATTTTTGGGTTTTTTGTATTTTTACCTCCACAATTTGTTTTTTGCTATTTTTAATAGTTTTGTTGGTATTCTCATTTTTCTGATTTTCCATAGTTTGTATTCCTATTCACTCATGGAGTATTATTCAATTTATTTTAAATTTTAAAAATTAATTTGTATATTTTTAGTTTTTAATGGTTGCTTTCTGAAAATTGTATAATTTTTGCGGGGCTGTATTGCCGTAATATTTTTTTGTACATTGTAATCTTTAATTGAAATTTGTAAATTAAAAACAAGTTGTTTGTCACAATCTTTTATAATGTAGCTTTGTCCTGGCATAGTTAGAAACCATTTGTCTCGAATAGTGATTCTGAGAGTCTTTCAGACATGTTCTTAGGATGTGTCTTGTCTGAAATTTTCTAGCTTTTTTTTTTTTTTTCAGTTAAAAGAGTTTGTTCGTGTTTCTTCTTGATAGTCAGTAATCACTTGCTACAACTGTTACCTGTCTGTAGTACTGCAGTCTCTTCACTGCTGTAACATTTACCTTTGATCTCAGCAGACTCAAAATGTCATTCCAAAGTATACCACCATTTCTTTCAGCCTTCTATGTCATGGGAGACAGAAACCAATGTCTGCAAAAGCATGTAGAAGCCAGAAATGAAGATGTATATGTTTGTTATTATTTTTCTTTTCTTTAAAAAAGAAAAACTAGGAGTAGGCAATTTACTTCTAAAGGCACTGTGTTATATTGGGGAACAGAAAGAACTTTGTTGGTAAATAAAACAGACTTGTGTCTTCTCTGTGGCTCTTTGCATTGTGCTCACCTGGGGCACTGCACACCGAACTCATGTATACATTTTCCACAAATGTATTTTGGTCATTATGTTTTTGTTACATTTATGTGTCTATGAAGAAATTAGAGCCTGTGGTATTTTACTGTGCAATCTTGCTTATGTAGTTTGTACAATTTTATAGATTAGATTTGTAAAGTATATTTATCTGAGTCTAGCAAGTGGAGTAATTTCTTATTTTGATTTCTTTCAGTAATGTCTTTTCATTTTGCCCAAGACCTTTGGCCAGAGCAGAACATAAAAGATTCTTTCCAAAAAGTGACACTGAGAAGATATGGAAGATGTGAATATGAGAATTTACAGTTAAGAAAAGGCTATAAACATGTGGATGAGTGTATGGGGCACAAAGGAGGTCATAATACAGTTAAACAATGTTTGACAGCTACCCCAAGCAAAATATTCCAATGTAATAAATATATGAAAGTCTTTGATAAATTTTCAAATTCAAATAGATATAAGAGAAGACATACAGGAAACAAGCACTTCAAATGTAAAGAATGTGGCAAATTATTTTGCATTCTTTCACAACTAACTCAGCATAGAAGAATTCATACCAGAGTGAATTCCTACAAATGTGAAGAATGTGGAAAAGCCTTTAACTGGTTCTCAACTCTTACTAAACATAAGAGAATTCATACTGGAGAAAAACCCTACATATATGAAGAATGTGGCAAAGCCTTTAACCAGTCCTCACAACTTACTAGGCATAAGATAATTCATACTGAAGAGAAACCCAGCAAATATGAAGAATGTGGCAAGGCCTTTAAACAGGCCTCACACCTTACTATACATAAAATAATTAATACTGGAGAAAAACCTTACAAATGTGAAGAATGTGACAAAGTCTTTAGCCAGTCCTCACACCTTACCACACAAAAGATACTTCACACTGGCGAGAACCTCTATAAATGTGAAGAATGTGGAAAAGCTTTTAACCTATTCTCAAATCTTACTAACCATAAGAGAATTCATGCTGGGGAGAAACCCTTCAAATGTAAAGAATGTGGCAGAGGGTTTAACATATCCTCAAACCTTAATAAACAGGAGAAAATTCATACTGGAGAGAAACCCGACAAATGTGAAGAATGTGACAAAGCTTTTAACCAGTCCTTAAAACTTACTGCACATAAGAAAATTCTAATGGAAGGGAAACCCTACAAATGTGAAGAATGTGGGAAAGTCTTTAACCAGTTCTCAACTCTTACTAGACATAAGATAATTCATACTGGAGAGAAACCTTACAAATGTAAAGAATGTGGCAAAGCTTTTAACCAATCTTCAAACCTTACTGAACATAAGAAAATTCATACTGCAGAGAAATCCTATAAATGTGAAGAATGTGGCAAAGCTTTTAACCAACACTCAAACCTAATTAACCATAGGAAAATTTATACTGGAGAGAAACCATACAAATGTGAAGAATGTGGAAAAGCTTTTAATCGATCCTCAACCCTTACTAGACATAAGAAAATTCATACTGGAGAGAAACCCTACAAATGTGAAGAATGTGGCAGAGCTTTTAGCCAGTCTTCAAACCTTACTGAACATAAGAAAATTCATACAGGAGAGAAACCCTACAAATGTGAAGAATGTGGCAAAGCTTTTAACCGATTCTCAACCCTTACTAAACATAAGAGAATTCATACTGGAGAAAAACCCTATAAATGTGAAGAATGTGGAAAAGCCTTTAATCAGTCCTATCAACTTACTAGACATAAGGTAATTCATACTAAAGAGAAACTCAACAAATGTGAAGAATTTGGCAAGCCCTTTAAACAGTCCTCACACCTTACTATCCATAAAATTATTCGTACTGGAGAGAAACCCTACAGATGTGAAGAACATGGCAAAGTTTTTAACCAGTCCTCACACCTTACTACACAAAAGATAATTCATACTGGAGAGAACCTCTACAAATTTGAAGAACATGGAAAAGCTTTTAACCTATTGTCAAACATTACTAACCATAAGATAATTTATACTGGAGAGAAACCCCACAAATGTGAAGAATGTGGAAAAGCTTATAACCGATTCTCAAACCTAACTATACATAAGAGAATTCATACGGGAGAGAAACCTTACCAATGTGCAGAATGTGGCAAAGCCTTTAACTGCTCCTCAACCCTTAATAGACATAAGATAATTCATACTGGAGAGAAACCTTACAAATGTAAAGAATGTGGCAAAGCTTTTAACCTATCCTCAACCCTTACTGCACATAAGAAAATTCATACTGGAGAGAAACCCTATAAATGTGAAGAATGTGGCAAAGCTTTTAACCAATCCTCAAACCTTACTACACATAAGAAAATTCATACTTCAGAGAAACCCTACAAATGTGAAGAATGTGGCAAATCCTTTAACCAGTTCTCATCTCTTAATATACATAAGATAATTCATACTGGAGAGAAACCCCACAAATGTGGAGATTATGGCAAAGCTTTCAACCTATCCTCAAATCTTACTACACATAAGAAAATTCATACTGGAGAGAAGCCCTACAAATGTGAAGAATGTGGCAAAACTTAATTGATCCTAAAAACTTACTACACATAAGAAAATTCATACCGGAGAGAATCTCCACAAATGTGAAGAATGTGTTAAAGCCTTTAACAAGTCTTCAACCTTTTCTACACACAGAAGATATTTTATACTGGTGAGAAATCCTACAAATGTAAAGAATGTGGAAAAGCTTTTAACTAATCTTCAAACCTTACTGAACGTGAGAAAATTCGTACTAGAGAGAATCCTGCAAATGTGTAAAATGTGGCAAAGCCTTTAACTGGTCCTCACTTTTACTAAACATAAGGTAATTCATACTGGAGAGAAGCCATACAAATGAGAAGAATGTGACAATGCCTTTAATCAGTCCTCACACCTTTCTACACTTAAGAAAATTTATACTGGAGAGGCACTCTATAATTGGGAAGAATGTGGCAAAGCTTTTAACCAATCCTCATACCTTACCGTACAGAAATTCATACTGGAGAGAAAGTCTACAATTGTGAAGAATGTTGCAAAGCTTTTAACCTTCCTTAACCCTTACAGCAGATAAGAAAATTCATACTAGAAAGAAACCCTACAAATGTGAAGTCTGTGGCAAAGCTTTTAACTGATTCTCAACTCTTAACTACATGTAAGAGTATTTATACTGGAGAGAAATCCTACAAATGTAAAAAATGTGGCAATGCCTTAACTGGTTCTCACACCTTGCTACACATAAGACAATTTATACTTTGAGAGAAACCCTGCAAATGTGAATAATGTGGCAACACTTTAAACCAATCCTCAAACCTCACTAAACATAATACTGAAAACTTTACAAACCTGAATGATGTGACAATAATTTTGACAACACCTCAAACTTCCTAACATAAATCATACTGGTGAAAAATCCTAGAAATGTGAAAAATGTCACAAAGCCTTTAAATGGTTGTCACACTTTATTGTAGGTAAGATAATCCATACTGAAGAAAACTCCCAGAAGTGTGAAGAATGTGGTGACACTTTTAATAAATGCTCACCCCTTATTGCACAGGAAATCATTTATGCTTCTGAAAGATTGTACAAATACAAGGAATGTGGAAAAGCCATTATTATCTGCTCACATTTTACTCAACATTAGAGAGTACTTAATAAAAACATTACAAATGCAATTTTTGTCAAGAGATCTTTCAGAAAATATAAGCCTTTAAAGTGAAGAAGAGGAGCCAGGTATGCTGGCTCACATCTGTAATGCCAGCACTTTGGGAGGCCGAGGTGGGTGGATCACGAGGGCAGGAGTTTGAGACCAGCCTGACCAACATAGCAAAACCCCATCTCCATTAAAAATTGTACAAAAATTAGCTGCATATGGTGGCACGCCCCTGTAATCCCAGCTACTTGGGAGGCTGAAGCAGAATTGCTCAAACCTGGGAGGCAAAGGTTGCAGTGAGCTGAAGTCACACCACTACACTCCAGCCAAGGCAACAAGAGCAAAAACTTCGTCTCAAAAACAAAACAAAAGTATTCATTAGTATTCATTTTGAAGACAAACGTTACAAATACGAGAGGGTTTTAGTACCTTTACTTGTATCACAGATATTGTTGTACCCATTTTGTACTAGAGGAAAACCCTGAAGCAGCTGCTCAAACTTTGTTCACCAGAAAATTTATATTGGAGAAAAACACTGTAAATGTAATGCATTTGGAAAAACGTTTTTAAAAAACTGCAGCTTAGAAAATACCAGAGGCCTCATACTAAAATATATTTTTGCAAGTGCAGTAAATATAAAAATAATTTAATCCAAAATTAAGTCTATGTAAATATCAGAGAATTCACAGTAGAAATATCTAAGGTATTGACACTTCAGACATTGCACTAAATCAGAATGCTGAGTATAGAAAATAATTTAAAGCTAAAGTTGGTAAATAATTTGTATATAACTTTAAAAGTAGAATTTTTTTGTAGATTTATTACATTCAAATTATATTTTTTCTTGAAAAATTAGTTTTTGAAAAGCAAATGATGTAATTCAACTCTCAAATTACTTCATGCTCTTCATTCCTATTCACACATGAAAGCATGTGATTAATTTTTCATGCATCAAAGATAAGAGAAATCATTTCTGTTAGGTGGGTATTATTTACGACACTTTCTATGAAAGAATAAGGACATTAAAATATAAGATGCGTGATGAAAACCTGAGTGAAGAAGCTTTTTGTGTTTAACTTATAATACTGAGTGATCCATGAAGTAGGTGTTCAGAGCAATATTCTTCTGCATTATGGTAAAAAATTTTTAATGTTAAAGTTAATTAGTAGTACATCATTTTACTAACCACTTTTATGTGATAAAATTGTGTGTGAAAAATTTTTGGATTATGCATGAACTTAGTTTTTTAGCATAGAGACACATAAGACCCTTTAATATGTTCACCTCTTCTTTACCTAAACCCTGAGTACACTGCAGGACAGCGTACAACCAGCTCACGCTGGCATGAAAAACACTTCATTGCAACTGCACAATACTTTTTAACATGTTAACGCAAAAAAAAAAACAAAAAAAAGTTTAATTAA